CAAAAAGCATAAAAGGACAATTTAATCAACATTGAAAACAATCACATGAAAATCTGTTTATCTTACAAGTAATTGAAGTAGTGTTAATTCAGCATCTATCCGAGCAATTTTTTTTTCTAACATTTATTTATTCATTCAAACAATTGAAACGTACTGACTCAGTTTTTCACGATCGGGCGCATAAACAAAAGACATTGATCTGTCAAGTAAATAATCCACTATCAATTTTAATTCTAGAGATGATGATCGATCACAACCATTTGCACTGTAACGAAAACAAAAACAGAAGTTTAATAAAACGAACAATCGGGTTTCTTTCACCTACAAAATAATTATGGTTAACATATTGTCATCTTTTGCCTTTTTTTCAAAAATTATTCCGGGACCGTTGAGTTCAGCTATTGCTTTTTTGAAACGATCCGTATCATCATCTAAATACAAAATATAAATAAAGAATTAAGCATGTTTGCAGTCTCACGTACCAGTTGACCATCCACATTTATAAATGAGTTCATCTATCGATGTGGGATTTTTTAATTGATACAAATGATAACTTTGTGGCGATTGTTTGAATATAGCCAATTGTACTTCAAATTTGCTCTGAAATGAAATATACGGCAGGTTGAAATAGAGGGTAACAATACCAAGAAAACAACAACATACAAGTAAGGACAAACGTCTTATGCACATAATGGAAGTATATTATATGAGTGAACTGTTTTCTTCTATTTTTATTCTGAACACTGCGTATCACATTACTCGTTCTTTTTATTTCAAACTATTCTCTATATCTCTCTGCCAAAAGGAATCGTTTCGTCTACGAACACTTCTCCCAATCATCAAACATTTTCGAACGTGTATATCATCTATGTTCAAACAAATGAACGAAAAACAGAACGAAAAAAAGCATCGTTTTTTCTACTGTTGTCATTCACATAGACAAAAGATGGTTTTTCTTTTCTTTCTCATCTCATGAGTTGACAAATAAATCATTTAGTATAAAGTCGAAATGGAAGAAAAAAGTTAGTCTATTCTGTTCTCAATCACTCTCGTAATCTCAAACGCAGTGAACTACTGTAAGAAAGAGATCACTAAACTCGTTCATCAACAAGGTAGGGTGAAAACGGTAACTACGTGTAGCCTTTCCCCCCCTAATCATAAAATGATAAAACATCTGTTTTCTTTACAACCTATATGCTCCTTTTGTTTGTCTAGATTTTGAGAGACGCCAAGACATTTCCCAGAAAACATGACCATATCTAAAATTTGAGAAATGTTATCGCATCAATATTGTATCTCTATGCCTTTAGCTGCCTAATATTAGTTAACGAACCTAAGCTATAAAAAGTTTTTCTTAAAGCTGATTTGTTGAAACGATCAAGTTAGAGCAGCCAATACTTTAAGTAATAAAGCGTAGTCCGAGTGAAATTTTATCGATTGATGATAAAGTTCAGACTGAGATTCTCTAGCTTAAACTGAAAAATAGCACAATCAAACAATCAAGTACAGAGAAGAAACAACTTACGTTGCTAAAAATAGATGGCGAATACACAACAATAACAGAACCTTCGTAGCACCGAGAGCCTAAAGTGGAATTCTGGTCTACTCTTGAGAGGGTCTCCCTATTCAGAAAGCTATTTTCCAAAGATTGTATTAAAAAATAAAAGACTCAACCGATTCATTTCTATATTCATGCAAAATATGATTTATTTTGTATAAGCTTTCCTATCAGACGGTGTTTAGATAAGAAATAATAACGATATGGAACCAAGCTGAAGTTTCGGCTTCTGAAAGCAGGTTTTGGAAATAATTGCATAGGTTGTATTAAGTTAACCTAGATTGGGTTATGAAAAACATTTATAGGTTAGGTTAGGTTTAGGTTACAAGTTTCGTAGGTTAGGTTATAGGTTGTCAAAAAGTCGTAACCTGCAGAGCTCTTGAACTGGTATCTGGTTATTTACGATGACTTTGAAATCGCATGGAATATATGTAATCGGCCTCGCTGAATCTAATGGAGAGCTGTCCGAGCATGAAGATTATTCCCCGAATCAAATCACCTTATACCGCGCACATCTCTAATTTACTTTTCATACTGTCAGTTTCTCTACTGCTAGTTCTCTACGGTGGTTGTAATGCACTTTCATGTCCTAATTTTCTGCCTTTTATGACATTCTCACCCGTTCTAATTATCTCATATTCTAATTCCCATACGCTTTCATTATATCATATTCTAATCTTCTGAGTTTTCTGACTTTCTCAGTTTGTGACTTTCTGGCTCTCTTCTCACCCATTCGTCTCCATATCCTTTGGTTATCTCATATTCTGATCTACTGACTTTCTCACTACCTCACCCACTATCTAATCTTCTGACTCTCTTCTCACCCATTCGTCTGCATATCCATAGATTATCTCATATTATAATCTTCTGACTTTCCGATCTTCTGGCATTCTTTATCTTTAGGTGGTAGTAAGTTGGAACACAATATCACGAACTATAAAGCCACACTAAAGCGCGTTACTTTAGCCGATGTATGAAAGGATAAAATGTATTCAGTACCGAAATGTTTCAATGCGCGAGATGTTAAATTGCGTGGACTGTTGAAAGGTATGAAAAGTTGAAATATGTATGCTCTCGGTATTATGCTAAATACAATCTTTGATACACCTTACACGGATATTTTGAGATGATAGTTGTACTTGAATGAGTGGGAAGAGAGTCAGAAGATCACAAGGTAAAGAATGTCAGAAGATCGGAAAGTCAGAAAGTAAGAAGATTAGAAAGCCAGAAAGTCATAGTCAGAGAGTGAGAAAGTCAGAAAATTACGTAAATCAGTATGTATTGCCTGACTCTTAGAATATAGTCTAAGCGTAAAATGACTGTCGGAATAAATTCTGTATTTGGCTATCTACGATCTAATGGTAATGTTGTTTTCCGAAAAGAGTTGAGAAAGCTGTTTAAAAGCGAGTTTTTTGAAAATTTGGTGTTTCAGGCTACTTTCACTTAGTATTAAAAAATTCGCCGCCCACCCAAAAAACATCATGACAACTTGAAGAGTTCAGAATGTACATTATTTAGGCTATTCTACATCCTTCGGCAGAGCCAAGTTTT